CATTTAATCACACAGCATGAAGCCATTTGTCACTACAGTTGAGTGCATGTGTACATAAAATACATGAGTCACGTCCTTATTGTTATAGTATAACAGCAGCAATTTCACACTATCATTTTCCCACAATAACAACTGCAGGGTTGGATATTAACTAAGGCATCCTGACGCCCCAAAGAGCAACTGAGAGCAGTAGCTTAAAAAAAAAGCCAAAAAACTGTTTGGAAATATGGCCCCCCTACTGTTTCACTTCACACATTCCAATATTGCATGTGTGCAGAATTCCTTCGTGTTTCTCTACAAAACCCCCCTCAGGTAAATTGTTGCAACACCCCGAGTTTCTTTTTTAGAAACAGGGTAATTTATGGCATTTCAGCATAGGTTGGATCCATTTTCAAGCATGTGCAAGCCCCTGGTAAGTAATTATTGATTTTCATTTGCTTGTTTATCAGTGCTTACATGCGCACAAGAGGGAGGCAAAATATCTGCCATAACACAATCCAAGGTGTTTGCAAATGCTGCCTCCAGAAAAATCCCACCCAAACCAAAGGATTAAATCTGTGCTCAGTGAAACTCAGGAATGAAAGTATTATTGGACAAACTTTACCTGCTTAAAAGTCCAGTAATTTCTGATCAAAGGGATGGCCATAAAAATATGTCTGTCCCCATAAGATGCAGAATGGGGAATGAGAATGAACTCGGTCACCTCTGGGTTTCAGGTGCAGCCCACCAAAACTGACTTCTTACCTGGGAGAAACATTTCTACAACTATTTGGGGGAAAAAAACCTCACAAAACTGCAATAAACTCATCCAGGCACACCCACAGACACAGTAGTGTCCAGTCAAGGGCTGGGATTTAAATCTAAATACGGTGAGTTGCTGTATTTTCAAGATGCTGCTGCTGCTGTGGAACCATCGGGTCAGGCTGCAGTTTAACAGTTCTGCTCCAGATTTTTGTCACGTTCAACTCAAGAGTTCAGCACACTGTTTGCTTTTAAATGAAATTATTTTGAATAACATGTACACACAGAAATGGCACAGTATGAGCGAGTTTTATACGAGGTGTCATAGGTATTATAAACAAATAATCACCTGACACAGGAGAAGGGGGCCTTTATGACCATTAAAGACCAAAACACATTTAGAGGCACTGCCTGGCTCAGAAAAAAACCAAGATAATAAGTCTCACATACATTTTCAAGCAGCCACTGGTACCCAAGGAGTCTAAAAGCCCAAATTCCAGGATTCTGCAAGGCAGAGCTCACCAGGAAGAACTGGGAAAGCAAAAGAAGGTGTTCATCCTTTTGCAGATTCCACCCACCATGTCTGTCTCACACCTTGGCTGCAAACGCCAGATGAGATTCCTGGTGAGATTCCTCTGTCCTACATCTTCCAACTAGAATTATACTGCCTTTTTTTTTTTTTTTTTTTTTTTTTTTTTTTTTTTTTTTTTTT